GTCTTTAACCCTTATACTCTTTCTTATTAAAGACTGTTTTTGAACTTTAGAATACCACTATTGAAACATCTTGTTTGGTATCCAATCTTATATACATAGAAATATTCATACAGAATAAGTTTTATATAAATTATTACACTTAATCTTTGAGAGATGCCACTCAATCAGATGCATATATTTGAAGATGGGTTTGTAAGGCTATATTGACTCTCTTGTAAGAGAGCAGAAAGCCTGCTAGTGACTTCACTTCCCTGATATTTGAAGGACCACAATTATCCAATGGAAAGTTTTCAGAAAAAAACTTTTGAAAGCCAAGTGATTTCTAGCAAGAGTAACAAATGTTCAAGGAGTCAATATAAATTATCATTTGAAAACCAGGAACTTAAATAGTAAGATTATCCAACTGCATAGAAAAGTTTAACATAGGCTGAGAAATATCGTTAAATGTAATAGGTGTGCAACAACTTCTATGGTCAAATGTTTTTGAATGGAATACTAAGAGTTTTGAAATATTCATATTCTCTATTCATCTAGAGAATGAAAACTCTTCAAACTGGTGATTTGCGCAAAACTGCTTTTTTTTTTTTTTTTTTGTCCAAACAATCAATCCCTTTGAAGAGTTTTCCTTCCGGAATTTACCAAGTGGAGATCTAGATTTTTTTTTTTTTAATTGAATTAAAAAAATTTAGATTTTTTAAAAATAATAATTTCAGGAATCAGGAGGACTTTTTTTTTTTAATATGGTGGATGCAAATATTGAAACAATGATGTTAGGATAACAATATATTCCTTTCTGTTGAAATTGTCTTTTTAATGTGGCCTCTGGACCAACACTTCATTTTCTCCAAGATTCTGTTGAGAAAGTTTGATAGACTTCCCCTTTTCAAACATTTTCTGTGAGATTTGGGTGCCTTCTTTTCCTGAGGTTTAAAAATCCCAGATGATTCATAGACTATCCCTATCCTGTTGGAGTTGGCCAAGTGAGTGGGATCATTTTTGCACGGGTCCTTCTGATGATAGGAATTTCACTGTTTCTTAAACTAAAATTGCAAGATTTATTATTCTATTAATGCTCATAAAGTCAGTCTTTTGATGAGCCATAATTTCCCTTTATGAGGAGTTTGTATGCCAGTCACCCATGATAACGGAGAAGGAAGTCCAGAGTCCTAACATATTCATACTCCCTGGAACATTAATAAAGTCTTGCAATCCCATATGACCCCAGGGTATAATGACATAGGGTACAACAATAAAAGGTAAATTTCAAGGTGTTACCATGCCCCATGAGACTCTTCTTACATTGTTAGCTGTGTACAAAACCTAAGCTTCCCCATTTTAATTTAAAAATGAATCCTCCAGGTGGTGAAGATAACTGGCCAACTAGGCTTGTCAGTCTTATCTTTGTGAATACTCTCAGGAATGAAATAGCAGGAGGTGTGAACTTTTCCCTGTTTATCTTAATGGTTCACTAATAACAAAGCATAATTAGTTACTTAAGTGTCAAGTTTATTAAGGTTTTCACTAAAACTTTCAGCAATGGTGTTCTTTTTGAGTGACTCAGGTTTTATTTATCCAACTTCTTTCTCTCATTTGAAAGAAAATTGCTCCAAATAAAAACAAACACGCAAACTAACATACCTCCCCGTGTTTAATTCCTTTTAACTATTTTAGTTGAAACGTAAAGGTACTTATAACGGTTCTAAAACGTTGGAAAATGACATCACTTATTGAAAATTTAGCCATGCCACATTCAAAAAGCAGGGACGTTTTGCATTAGTTTGCTTCACCGCTTTGGGAAGTCAATTTGCTTATAAACCAAAATTTTGATCCGGTGTGTCTTCAATAACATACTATGGTTCTGTAACTGGGATGGAAACTTAGCCATAGTACCTTTTCACTCAAGGAACTCTCTTCGGAAGTCGAAAATCACCTATCTTTCTGTCTTTATGGATCTCCTGGCTGCCTTTGTCCCTTCTAGACGAGGAGGCCTTTAGAGGAGGTTTGGTTTCCAAGGATTGGAGCGTTTGAAGGGCGGGGCCATCTCCAAGGCCATCTACCCTTTTTGTCCTCTTCTCCTGGGACGGGAGGGTGGAGCCAGGTCCCCCCACCGCCGGTTCTGGAGCTCTGTATCTCGGTCGCTCGAGGTGAGTCTGAAAGGGCGACAGCCCGTTTAATTACAACGCAGGTTAATTTCTTGAGTTCACCGCAGACAGTCCGCCAGCCGCTTCCCGGGTCTTTGCCAAGTGGGTTTATGAGGTCTGAGGCGTGTTGAGGCGCGCTCACGTTCTCGCGAAAGGCTCCTCCCCAGGGCTCATTCCCCGACTGCAGGAAGCACTTTGGTGCTCCTAGAGCCTTCGGTTTCCTCAGACCTCGGCGCTTCTTCCCCCCTCGCCAACCCTGGGTTCCCTACGCCCGTAACCCCGGGGAAGAGTGGCCCCCATTTTAGTACTTCGGACCCAAGACAACCTAGAAAGTACCTTCACGTCGATGAAGATTTTATCGCAGCCTCCAAAACCCAGCAGTAATAGCAGCTTTCAACCTGAAATACGATTGTTATTTTCCCGGTACAGGGCTTGACAGAAAAAGTCAGCTTTTTTTTTTTTTATTAAAGACAAAGAGGTAAATTATCAGCGCAGGCACTGAAGGGATTGCGGAGACCTGGCGCGCTTCCTCTGGTTGCCACGAGGAATTTATGGAGGAGCGGCGGCTGGCGATCAGACACCCCTGGGGTCCCGGAGGGAGGAGCTCCAGGGCAGAAGGACTTCCCCAGGACCCTCCAGGCACCTGGAAGGGGGAGTCCTTCCAATTCTGCACAAAGCCAGCATCACTCTGCAGCAAGCCTCCCCATCCTTCTCGCTTCTTTCTTCTTTTCTCTTTCTTTTACTCCCGATTCCCTTTTGCCTGTCCTTTCTGCTCGCCCTACTTTTTCCCTTTACCTCTTCTCGCTTTACTTCTCCCTCCCCCTTCTTCTCCACCGCACGCGTAGAGTGTCATTTATTTATTTATTTATCACTCCGCCATCAACACCCTTTTAGGGCTCCCAAGATTTTCTATGTGAATGGGAGGAGAAAAGGGCAGGAAGTGTTGAATGGAAGGCGGTGAAATTGTGCCTCAGGGCAAGAGATTCTGTCCAGGTCTAAATGAACGGCAAAATCTTGGAAAACGAGGATTTACATCTGTTTATGAAATCCCGCTATCCGATGGGAACCAACCACGCGCGCGTCTCCTCCTCCCCTTTATTGTATAGATTTATGGGTATATCTCCCAGAGATGTTGCTTGGGGGTGAGGGGCGGCGAGTATTAAAAGAACACAGTCCTGCTGTGGATCCTCTACACCGCGCCTACACCACCGGATGCGCGCTTCCCAATGCAAAGGAATCTAGAAACATCCCCCAATTCAGACGCGGACAAAAGAAACTTTAATTAAGGTCTCTGCCAGGCGCTCTGCGTGTTTCTTTTCCCGAGGCTGCAGATGCCCAGTGTGAGGATCCGAGAAATGGAACTGGTACAACCAGCGTATGCCCTTGAACTTCAATTGCATCTATATTGATTTTTTTTTTCTTTCACACTGTAACCCCCCCCATCCTCCATGCAACTTCCCCGTCCCATATCAAATGAAGTCTGAAGAGACATCCAACATGGTGTTTGTGTTGGGGGGTGGGGTAGGGTCCTATTCTTTTACGAAAAGAGGTAGTTCAGAACGATTTTGGGGGGGATTACACTAAATAAAAATTCAAGGTGTGAAAGCTTCATCTTGGCTCTCCTGTCTTCAACACATGACACCTTATCATTAGGAGCGCTGATTGTTACTTTCCGAGACTTAGATGATCAGGCTGAAAGTGCAAACAACGCGGTGCTGGAGGGTGTAAAGTTATTTAAGTATGCTTTTCTTCTTTTGGTGCGCCGTCAAAACATTTCACAAGTTGGGAAAGTGGTGTTTCTGAGCCTCGGAAGGATGGGCTTTCTCCTTCCCCTACTCTTCTTTCCATATCAGAAAAGAAATGAAACGCACAATGAGCCTTTATTTCGGGGGAGAAGACTTCAAAATACGTGCCAGTAATGGACAATTTAAGCTTTTCACTGGAGATACTCACACCGCAAGCTGGAAAGGGATTAAAAAGCCCCACGTGGTTGATCTGGGTTTAGACTTGCAACCTCTAGTTCTCCATGTAGGTTCTTTGCAAAGATTGGCCTCTAGATGGATGCGTGTGAGGGACCCGCTGGGGCCCGGGCTCGGAGCCTGGGGCAGGGCTGATGGTAGGAGCGCTATGAGCGGCCAGACAGGGTCCTCACTGGAGGCTTCCTCTGCTGGCCAGGGTGGCCGGACCCCTCCGAGACAGGAGCGCGCACGCCTAGCCCAGGCGGACAGGCTCCGTGCACCGCCTTCTCCGCAGGTCTTTATTCATCTCATCTCATCTCCCTCTTCCCCTTCTCCTCCTCCTTTGCCTCCTTCTCTTCCTCTTCCTCCTCCTCCTTCACCACCGCCTCCTCCGCCGCCGCCACCTCCTCCTCTTGCATCTCACTGGCCTGGCTCTGTGTTGCTCTGAGTGACAAAGACAATGTCCCAGCCTTAACTTTGCAACCACCTTGCCTCCTTCTGGGGTTCAGCGGGGGGTGGGGGGGTGGGAAGGAGGACAGTAGCCGCAGCCTCAGCATCTCCTCCAGCTTCTCCTTCTGCGCTTCTTCAGCTCTTGGATAATTCTTCCTTTTTTTTTTTTTTCCTCCCAGCCCATTTCTCTCTCAATTTTTTCTTTCTGTCGGTCTTCCTTCCTTCCTTCTTTTTCTCTTTCTTGCACGTTGTTGTTATTAGAAAGGCTTCGCGCACCCCCTGGTGCTCCGGCGTTTTGTGTGGCAGGAGAAGATTGTCTTCCTTCTCTCTTTCTGTCTTGCTTTCTCTCTCCCTCTAGTTGCTCATTATTCAGAGAGAGACACACAGGGAGGGAGACGGAGAAGAGAGAGAGAGAGAGAGGGAGGAGAGGAGAAAGAAGGCGCGAGCGAGGGGAGAGGAAGAGGGAGGGAGGGAGAGGGAGAGAGACGGATATCTCAGGTCATCTGCAGCTGCAGCGAGTCTGAGGAGCCGAGGAAGGCAGGGAAGATGGCGATCCTCCATTGCTGAGACCCGGCAGAAGCACATGAGACTCCCAAACAACTTCCACAACAATAACCAGAGCAGGAAGAGGAGAAAGAGAAAGAGGATAAGGAGGCGTTGGGGCTGGAAACCCGAAACACCTCCTGGCGCCGGGACGCTTCTTCTGTAAGTTACTGCAATTAACCACCACCTCCGGGTGGTCTGAGTGCTAGAGGGAGAAGAGCGCGGGGTGGCGGAGGCACAAACGCGCTCATTCATTCGGCCAAGAAGGGTTGGTGGAGCGGGGAGGAGAGGAAGTCCCCTGCATGGACTGGCTATAGGAAGAGGAGAAGAAGCAAGAGAAGAGGAGGAGGGGGAGGAGGGAGAGCGGGAGGGGGAGGAGGAAGAGGAGGAGGAGGAGAAGCGAGGGAGGAAGAGGAGGAGAAGGTGGTGGTGCTGGTGGCTGTAGAGGAGGCTGTGCTTTTTCCTGCTGGCTGCTCCTTCTGCTGGGGGGAGAGGAGCGCTGTGGCTTAATTTCGTGTAGTTGTATGAAGAGACGAGAAAATGAAAGATGAGTGAGAAGAGAGCTGGAGACTTAGGACGGATGCTCGGAGTGTGGGGACGGGAGTAGGGACAGAGAAGGGGGCGGAGGGCGGGAGGCTAGGAGACCTGAGCCGAAGAGTGTGAGGGAACGAGCGAGGGGCAGAGGAGGGAGCGCTCCGAGCGATCCCGACCTGAGCGGGTTGACCTCTTTCTTTCTCTGTCCCTCTCCTTCCTTTCTCCTTCTCTGTCTGACTGTCCCCCGCCCGATGGCAAAGCCGTGCGGATTGGCACCCCCCTCTTCCTCAGGTATTTGGCTCTCTCTCTCCGAAGTTGGGATGCGGGGTCGGGATGTGTCGGGGGTGGCTGCTGCTGTTGGTACTGCTGGTGAGGAGAGAGGCGAGTCGCCTTGGGCGCGGACCGGGTGGGGGCACAGGTTCAGAAGGCTGCTGAGGAGCTGTCTCTAGGCTGAGGGTTCAGAAGCCTGTGGTAGGAGGACAACGGTTTCTGGAGAGGAGAAGCCATTACACACACTTGGCTTTCCTCTGAGGGAGGAAAAGGAGGCAGGGGCCTGGGGGGCTGCCACACTCCTGGTGCAGTTCCCGGGGGTCTGCCCTCCTTCCAAGAACGAGGGGAAACAGCAGCCGCCCCCCCACCATTGGAGCAGCCCCTCTCTTTCCCTTTCTTTATCTCCCTGTCCTCCATTTGCAAGCTGTCTGCTTTGGTTCCAGTCCAGACTCCAAAACACAAAGCTCCTTCTCACGTTCAGTCTCTAGGCTTTTCACCATTTATGAAGGAACCCTCATTTTCTTTTCATTGTAGCTTCTAACCTACAGAGAGGGAGGAAGGCTGCCTGGAGTTCCTTTTATATTCCTCCACTACCCAAAAAAAAAAAAAAAAAAAAAAAAGTTTCATTTTTAAGCACGCGTCTGGGATGGGGAAAGACCAACCAGTTGGGGCTGTCTCCCAGGGCTCCCGGGGGTTGTGTCTGTGTTTGCTGTTTGGTGTGCTTTGGTTTTGTTTCTGGAGGTGGCTTACAGGTTTTTGGAGGAAGTGACTAGTTTGGTTGAGAGCTGAGAACTGAGTCAGGTAAGCCGTGTCATGTTGTAACTCCACCAGAAAATGGAGGAGAACGGGTTTCCAGGAGACAAAGCTGAGATGAGAAGTGTTTATAAAATTATGGATGTCTCCATTTTGAAGCTCTGCTGGTGATGGCTGGAGGAGGAGGCTTGCCTGCCTACTCCTTTTCCCTTTCCTGAGGGAAATCTTATGGTGGTTCTTCACTATTGCTTCAGTATGCAAGGAATGAGGGGCTTTTAAAGGGTTGTCTAGATTTTTCTCCCACCAAAGGAGTGTTTTCACAAGTTGCAGAGGCGTTTGTTTCCATTTTAAAGTAAACTTTTGGATTTTTTTTTCCTTTTGAGTAGACCTGAGGGGGTTTTGACCTCCTTCAAGAAAGGGAAGACAAAACCTTAACCATTTCCATTGAGGTCTTCACACAACTTTAAGCTGCTCCAGGTCTCCTGAAAGTCACCAGAGTGTTATTTCTTCATTGTGAAGATAGTGGTGGCCCCAAACTGAGATTTATGGAGTTCTGGGGCTTGGGTTATCATCATGCTTTGAATGCCTTGCAAGACTTTATTGTTTGGTTTAGAGTGATTTCTGCAAAAAGAAAAAAACCCCAAACCCAGAAAACCCTGCAAGACCTCAGAAGAGCTCTAGGATGGACTGACACCAGTTTCTTGAGGTTCTACATTTCTCTTCAGGTTGTTCCATGTGTGCATCAGGCCTTCTTTTAGTTCCTTTGTTTCCCCCTTTCCCTTCCATTCTGCTTTTTTTGTGTGTATTCTCAAGTATTGTAAATCTTCAAAAATGCCTTCTTAGCAATGTCACTATGGAAACACGTTTTTAAAAATACCATATCAGTTGAGAAAAACCTTACACCCAGGTATCTTCACCTTTTTAATTGAGGATAATTTATTAGTCTTTAGGGAGACATTTTGGGAGGCTGATTTGAAAAAGAACCTAGACCTACACCAGTTCAAACACATAGGTTAGAACTCTATACAGATTAGTTGTAGAGAATGTATGTAATTGACCCAAGTAAAGGATTAATTCTTAAAATGTTTCAGGAATTTATAAAAGCCAATCATGAAGATGTTGATTTTCCATTAGGTTCAGGTAGCCATCTTGAGGATGAGAGAAGATGTTAGAAGAATTTTAGAGGGACTTCTGAACATAGGTGAGGAGGGCTCCAGGGTAGAATGAAAACTTGGAGGAGATTCAGAACCAATTAATACATTCTAAGGAACCTAATTAGACTTTGTTTTCAACTAAGGAGAAATATAGAAAGGTACCAGCTTCTTCGTCATAAATAAGGAACACATTGGTAAACGACTTACACCAGCTTTCTTCTTGCTTTGCTTTCTCATTATCAGATTTTTTTGTGTGTAAAGTTCCTTATGTCTACAGTATATTTGTGCATATTGAAGTGGTTTTGGATTCCAGATGTAATTATATTCTGTTGAGTAGCTGGTAGCAGTGCCATCAGTAAATGCACAGTGCTATATATGACAACATCACATTTTTCAAACCAAACTGTGGTGTCATTAATTGAGGGTTATTGTTCTTCTGAGGGGTGTGAAAGGAGAGGGGAAATAATACATGGTCCTTTAGTGATAATTGTCCATGGTCAATGAAGTAAAACCCTGCTTGTGCAGACGAAGATGTATGGTTTTCAGTTGATGTGTGTGCTCATTTTAAAATGCTTCTGCTTCAGATTTTTGTTCCCTTACTAAAAATCTAGGCCCCTCCAAGAGCACTTTTGAAAATCTGACTTGGAATCATAACTATTCATTATTCACTTTTGGATTGATTACCTTTTGATACTTATTGCTTTTGCTCATAAGTGTAATGCATTCTATGCTGTATTTAAATTTGCTAGGGCATATATGGATGGATGCTACATGTTCAAACTTGGAATTTTGAATGTAGTGGAATAAAAAGAGTTATTTGGGGAAGTAATTATGAGATAATTTTACATCTAATTAACCATATATGTTTATTGTCAACATGAACACATTATATGTTTGTCTTGAAACAAACTTCTATGTTAATTTTATTATTGTTGCTGATCCCAGGACAATTGTTTAGTTTAGTTATTTCACTCAGAAAAAACAAAAAAAATCTGACAAACTGGTTGCTATTCCAGCAGTTTGATTTATGATATTTTTCACTTTTCAACCAAATGTTTTGGTATATTTTATAAGACAGTTTTAGAGTTTAGTTTTTATGGAGGGAAAAAATAAAGTATCCAAGGGGAACTTTGGAGTTTGCAAATTTGTTCTGATTAGCTAAGAGATATGTTGTTGTTGTTGTTGTTGTTGTTGTTAGTTGCCATCCAGCTAAGAGATATAGCCATCTTGAATCCCTTTTAAGGAGCTCTGGTAGCGTAGTGGTTATGAATCGGGCTGCGAACCTTCAGGTCAGCAGTTCAAAACTACCAGCTGTTCCGTGGGAGAAAGATGAGGCTTTCTGCTCCTGTAAAGATTTACAGCCTTGGAAACGCTGTACAGGGTCACTGTCAGTTGGAACCGACTCCACAGCACATAACAACAACAATCCCTTTTCATCAACATGGAAAGCATAGCATAACACTTTAAAGAGGTGGCTTCTTGAGTTTTCTAGACACTCACATTGGAATTGGGATAAGTGTTTTCAATATACCACAACAAGAAAAATACAGTGTCAAATTGAACATCCTCATTTGATGTCAAAGCTCAGATCGTTTTCTTTTTTTGAGACATGAGGTTGATAAAGCTTGTTTTATGCACATTTTTTTTGCCATAGCTCTAATATATCACAAAGAGAATTTCTGAAAAAATACCTGTGCGCTGTTGACGTATGCTGCCATGATATTATTCCTGTTGGGTCTTCGGCGTTGATAGTGTTTTCTCAGTGGATTTATGTCAGTCTAATTCAGTGACCACATTCTTTGAGGTCTTGTTTTTTTCCCTGCTCTTTGGTGCTGGACACAACTTCTAGAGGTTAAAAAAAAACAACAACCAAAAAACTATATCTATTCTTTTCAACGAGTCTTCCAGAAGACAGTCAGGGTTAAAATTCAACTCTGCTAATGTACTTTACTCTAAAGTCAACTTGTAGTCAAGTTGCCCTGGGAAAGCATCCTGCTGTCTGTGTGATGGAGTTTAAGAGAGTCTAGTCTGTCTTGAAATTTTCCTTGGTGTTGATAATTCTTGGTTAAAGTCCCTCTGCTTTTCATCTTTTGATATGCACCTTTATCAGATACACAGTTCACAGCATCATGGGACAGAGAATGGACAAAACTATATTGAATGTTTCAAGTTGCTTGGAGAACAGAGATGTTGTTTCACAACACCACACCACAAATGTAGGAAATACATAACTTAGATTGTAGAGGATGTGGTATGAGTACATAATTGGATGGGTGATAAATACATGGAAAGTAAGAACATTTGTAACAAAAGAGGGAAAATTTTTCCCCATTCTATTGCGATAATCCAGAATGCTGGAAAAAAATCAGCTTGTGTGTGTGTGTGTGATTATGTGTGTATATGTGTATGTTAAAGCAACTATCTTGTGAAGCTCACATGCTTACAGAGTTG